ATCTTCTTCATCAACAAAATTATTTTGAAATCTTAATAATTCCTCGTCTGTTGCCCTTCTTTTCAATACTTTATAAAGTTTATGTATCCAAGAATTAGTATGAAAATTATAATTACCTCTACGATAAAATCCACCACATCTACATAGTTTCATTGACATATTATTATATTATATTAAATTAGAATATCTTTATTCATCATTCGTAATTTGAAATGCCTGTTCAAATCTGATATGAAACATTTTGTTAATGTCTTTAGCATTCATATTCACGTAGAAGAAACTATAAGGTGCGTCATTAACGGCTTGATGATACATATCTAATAATTGCTGTTTGTCAACAATGGCGCTATTTTCTTCAATAAAACTCATTAATTCACTGGCATTTTTCAACCTAAAAATATATAATGAACTGGCATTTAAACGAATGATAGGCGCCAAAACATTGTATTTTTGTGTTGAACAAATTACACTTACTGCATCGTGCCTGCCTCTTGTAAATAATCCATGTAATAATTTACTATATCTAACAAATTTAGGGTCGTCTGCGTGGTCATCTATAACGATTAATATTGAATGCAGTTTCTTTATCTTTTTAGATTTCATATAATTAATTATTTTCTTCTGTCTTTCAATTACATTTTCTAAATCACTTGGATTATAATTATCAAAATAAATTTGTTCTTTTTCATCATCTACGTGCAATTCGTCCCTGATATATTTTTTAACTTCTGTAAATGTAGGGTCGTTATGGACACTGGGTGAAAATATAAATATTCTTGCGAATGAATTTCTATAAACATTCAATATTAAATTTTGAATAAGGACAGTCTTCCCGCCCGTTGAACTCGCGACTATAATACTTCTAAATGGTAATTTTGGCACGTGCTCATATTTAGATTGTTTGAATTCATATTCAGTTATGTTTATTGGTTTTATTATTGGAACATCTGTCATAGTTGATATTAAAGATATATAGAAAATTATATTTAAAAATTAACTTGTAATTAATATTAAATGGAACATCATTTTTATGATATGCTGGTGGCGAATATCATAAAAATGGAACAGGTTTTCCATTGCTACAATCAATAAGCATTGAAGCTAATTAGTTTGTATCTCTCTCGCGTGTGCAATGAAAACCCCAAGTGCTGTGCCCCACCAATATTCTATTATGCATGAAAATAATAAGATTAAATAATTTAAATAATTATTTTATCTTATTATTATATGACTGTTATCCATTGCAATTGTTGTAAAACTTATGATGACAAATATTTATTTAAACATCTAAATTCAAAATATCATCAGAAATTTGTAGAATATAGATGGAATAAAGACGATACAATGAAAAAACTTTACAAGAAAAGAAAGACAGAAATGAAAAAAAATTATCTTATTATTTAATATGAAAAGGAGTTATACAGATTATATTAATATAATAGATGAAATGGAGAATATAGAACAAGTAATAATTACTGACAATAAAATAAAAAAATGTTGTTATTATTCATTAGAAATAATTAAGTTAGGAATTCAATATCTCAAAAATAAAAATGTAAATATTAATATAAATGGGAAAAAAGAAAAAGAGTAAAGGCAAAGAAAGACCAACACCAGATATTGAAGCACGGAAAGAAACAGCAGAAAGTGTTAAATCAATGGGTGAAAGTAAGACTATAAAATGTGATAAATGTAATCACATAATGAATTTTAAAAATGAATTGACAGTAGATAAGAAAGGTGGAGTTAAAGTTAGTTGTGTCCCATGTATGTTTTCTTATAAAAAAACAGATAAAGATTTTAATATTCAGAAAAGAACAGATGGCGATATGGTTATTGAAACTAACGAACATTTGATTAATGTTAGTTTTAACAGGGACATAAGTTAGTATTTAAAGAGTAGATTTAACATAAATGCACTTTATAAATATATAATTAAATAAATAATTATCTAAATAAATATATAGTAATGTCTGAAAATGAGAATTATACTATTAATGATTTAATGAAGAAGATAACATTAATTGGTAACAATATCAAAACCTTAAATGATATGATTAAATCCATTGATGACAAAATGAAACCAGTTGAACGCGAACAACAAAGCAACGAAGAGAAGGAGAAGATGAATAAGATTTTTGAAAAGAAAGGGATAGGCAGACCTAGCGGTGATTATGATACCAAGCGTAAAAAATACTGCGATATGTTAAATAAGGGACAAATCAAAAGTCCAAAAGAACAAACATTAGAATATTATAAACTAATTAAGGGCGATGATGATAAATATGTAATGGTTGGAAATTAAAATCTAGATATTTCTAATAATATGAATTTATTAGAATTATTTAGCAACAAGACCTATATAAAATACCTAGTAGTTTGATATTGGAAACTGTGATGAGTTTGACAGAAATCGGGGAATGATTTTGATAGAATCGGGGAATGATTTTGATAGAATCGGGGAATGATTTTGATAGAATCGGGGAATGATTTTGATTATAACCATGCTATGATTATAACATGTAAAATATTATATGTTATAAGTATATTCCAATATTTAATTTTATTTCTTGTAAAAAAGTATTTAAAGAAATAAACACTATATATATATATATATTATAATAGAAATGGAGTTTCAAAAACTACCAGTTGAAGTTATTAATAATATTATGTCCTATAAATATGGCAAGCCAGAATATATGAAAATAAAGCATAATCATAATGAAACATTGAAGAGAATACAAAGAAGATATAAAATTGACAAAACTGACATAGAAAGGGAAACAAAGCACTGTAATAATTTAGATGGTGATAAAGTAAAGAGACAAATATGTCAATATTATGTTTCTAGGAAGGTTCCATTAAGCATTGAAAGTATTGAAGATATAGTTATGAAAGAAGGGGATGAAATAGATAGCTTACTAGATAAGTATGTAGGATATGAAAGTTATAAAGCAATAATAATAGTTGATATAATTTTACGTGTAAGGTTTCATCATTTTAATTATTTTGAGGATGATGAATATAGCAGTTATGGTTTTGATTTTCATAGTGGTAGACACTTAATGGGTTCTATAGACCAAGATAATATAACTGATGTAATGGAATACGCAGTTGCAACAATATGTAGAAATATTGATAATGAAAGGAATACAATGAATATTGTAGGAGTAAAACACATAAGGTTTATACTAATTATTGATGAACCTGAATAATATAACCATACTATGATTATAACATTTATACCCTTATATGTTATAATTATAATGTAAGTATAGCGTTTTATATATTGAAGATAAAATCCTACAAGGTGGGCCATGCGCAACTCCGGAATATCAAAATTTCGAAAAATGATTAATTATTAGTCTTCTCATTGAATTATTGAAAATGTTGTTTCTTATTGAATAATTCTTCTTAAAATGATATATATATTTATCTCTTTTGAAAAAAATATATTTTCTAAAATATTTTGGAAAATGTGTGTTTTTGAAAATAAACATGTTTAGGTGTATTGAATTTTTCAAAAAATAATTCAATTTTTGTTTTGGTATGCAGTACTAAAAAAATATTTATCAAAATGTGTTTAGACTGTTTCAAAAAATGTTTTAAAATGGCTGTTTTGGTGCGCTTATTCAAAAAATGCAAAAAATCCTAGGGTGGACCCTAGACTTTTGAGTCCGAAAAAAGTTGCGCATGGCCTCTCCTAACTGTGACTGGCTGAAAGGGCAAGCAAGGTAGATCAAGGCAAACAAAACAAGCTGCAAAGCGAAGTCTGGCACTGAGACTGCCGCGGTTGGTTGCCCAATCGAAGTTTTCAATTCAGTGTCTCGCTCCCTGATGAGTTGCGGCAAATAAGAAGTTTGGACGTTTAGCCAAGCAACTCAGGAAATGAGGTGTGGCGATCGTATAGCATGTGAAGGGGCCAACTAAGTACAAGCCAGTTTCTCCTATCATGACTTGATTTGGTCTCAACACGCCCCACAGCCCTAATGAAAGTGGGGTGCCTCGCAGGTTTTTCCTTTGTATATGTTCCATGCCGTGACACCAAAGTGGAGAGCGCTCTTGTGTATTTCCCATGGCAGCTCAGGTTCCATGTGAAAAGGCTGGGCATCATATCGGAAGCCTCAAAGAAATTGGCTGGATGGGACCTTGCGGAGGTCTGCTTTGCGTTTTGAATGAAGTAAGGGCCAGGCACTTCGTCAAACCCCCCACAAACATCAACCCTAGTTACCCCAAACCGGAAATTTCAGGTCTTGGGTCGAAAGCCTGGGCCGCCAACCTGAGTTGGCCTGACAAACAGCTCGACTCTTGCCATGGTATTTTGAGCCACTCGAGAATATGTTGTTGGGATGTGCGCCTTGCTTTCCCGTCAATTTAGCTGTCCCCAAAAGCTCCAGCTCGAAAATCGCAATTACAGTTGCAGTTCAAGATAGGAACACCAGGAGGTCTCCAGTCTTCCATAGTCCGTGTCTTGCCTGCGGTCTTCCCGTGGCCTGGCATAGCCTTCCCTCAGTTTTCTTTGTTGATGTGTATTTCTATGGTAACCATAATGAGGTTGCAGCCCCTTGCCACGATTTGATATCCTTTTTGACGCCCTGAGACAAGCCCATGTCCGGTCTGAACATGCTATGGGAAATACCCCAGAAACAATTCTGGTCCTTTGGTTTGGTTTGATTGCCGGCCTGTTTGGTTGGCACCATGCTCAATAAACCCAAGCGGTTTCCGACAGACCACTCAACTGGTGACTTGGATATTACGTAGTCGCTTGAGTCATATCCCACTTTTAACAGGATTGACTCCACTTAGGGGACTCACCAAAAGAAGGCAAGAAGTGGTTAGCTTGGGTTATAGCCCATTAATTGAGCAGTAGAGGTGGTTTGTACTACTACTTGTTCCCTTTGGTTTCCCTGAGGGTCCCTTGGTACCTCTTTGGCACCTGAAGAATCCGCAGTACTTTGACCCGCTGCTTCTGGTTTCAAAGTTTCCTGGTCTTTCCTCAGGTTCGAGAACGACTCCTTGAACGAGCCCAACGAATCCAAGGAGTTTAACGACTCCAACGACTCCCACGACTCCAACGACTCCCACGACTCCAACGACTCCAACGACTCCCACGACTCCAACGACTCCAACGACTCCCACGACTCCATGTCGGAGCTCGACAGCCCTCAGTTTTCGCCCGCCGCGCCCGTGAAAAGGGGCAACACGGAGGCGAGAGCCACGGGAGACCACTGGAGTGGGGTGGATCAGGTTTCTCATGTCCCCACGTCAAGAGGCCAACTGCATGCTGAAGGGTGTCGTGGAAGCCATGGCTTGGATGAAAAATGGGGAGAGCAAAAGACCACTCAAAGAGTATCGAAAGGGAAGGGGTAGACGCAGGTACGGCATATGAATTATTTCTTGGAGTACGGCAACTCTCAAAGAATATCACTTGACACGGACAGGGATGCTCAAGTGTCAGGGCGCGGGGAACCCGGTGAAGGTGCTTTGTCTTGTGTGATCTTTCCAGAACCTGGCTTTTGGGTTCCAAAAATCAGGGGTCCCCCCGCCAATTTCTCTTTTTTGAGCCTCCAACACTTGAAGGTTCATTGAGCCCCGCCACTCATTTGCAACTGTTTGCGGGAAATCCAGTGACTCCTCCGCCCTTTCGGCGTTCCGCAAGAAGCAAGTGTTTCAAGCACAGCGCATGGTTGGGAGCAGCCAATAGAAACGCACCTTCTAACGTACCCTTTGGGAGTCGAAATCTTCAAAGAGCTCCAATTCCAACGACAGTTTTCTAGGATTTGCACTCTGGACCAAGATTTTGTTCCGATCGAAATTGACAAGTCCCCTTGCTCACGGGTTTGTCAGTGGCATAACAAGCCGGCGCTGAAACGGCGGCTTTCTATTGAAACATTCCACTGGAGATACTGGACTTCATTGGCAGTGGCGAGTCACGGTGTGTGATGGCGCAGCCCACAAACTCGTGTGGTGCTCAAAAAGCGACGCTGGTGACAAGCTTTGTCTCCTGTCTGCCAATGTGCGAGGATCAAAAAACCCAAGACCAGCTGGACCAGAGGAGTATCACTGCCACCGAGCAGCTGAATCAGCTGGTCTCCGACCAAGATCTGCTGGTTAAATACCAGGCAAGCTATGGTTCCCTGAAGGACTTCGCCGTGTGACAGCAAGCTACCGGCACCACATGGTCCATGCGTCGCTCTTGAACCATGCGTCGCCAAAGAGTACACTGACGCCTGCCAATTGTGCCATGACTGGAGGTAGGCCATAATGCGAGGAACTGCAGTGGTGTTTTGGCACACTTTGCAAGCCATTTCCCAGGCTTGGAGGTACGGTTCGTGGCACCGCAACGGGTCCGTTTAAAGGGGTCGCGCTTTTGACCATACCCCCACATGGCCAAGTTGGAAAGCTCTGTTCCCTCGCGCCCTTGGAATGCAAGGGCTGGCCTCAAAGAAACTCAAGCCTTAAGCTTTTGATCCCGGCAGGTGAAGGATGTAAGGAGCAAAGGGCTGTGAGAATGCCTATCCTTAGGCCGAATCATGTTGGGTGACCCATGGTTTCGTACAAATGAGTTCCCTTCGGATGCTACACGCATTGTCCTCTGGTGCAAGTGATCGGACCCGTTTTGATGCGGGCCCGCCCCCCCACTCGGGGTCCTCCAAGGTGCAGGGAGCTTGCAGGACTCAAGCGTTGGTTTTCATCTTGAGCCAACATTGCCAGCACTTTCTGTCGGATTGAATCCAAGCCAGCACTCAGTTTAGTATTGCCAACATATAGTGTATGCCAGTGCTTAGTTTAGTGTTGCAAGCACTTCCTGTCGGATTGCCAGTTCTTGGTTTGGTATTGCCAGCACCACACCTGTTGGATTGCCAGTTCTTAGTTTGTGTTGCCAGTACTTGATTTAGTGTTGCCACTGCCCCCCAAGTTTGAGGGACATAAAAGATGGTACCCAAACATTTCCCCGCAGAGGGCCGCTTGTGGGTCACCCTCCTCAGCCTTGTTTTGGGCAGGGTTTTTTCGAGGGATTTAGGTAAGGGATTTGGATGGTTGGGGCCCACCAAACCAATTCTCAGACTCAGCCTTTCAGGTAAGGAGCCCCTGTTAGAAGCCAAAGGCTAAGATCTCACCCGGGAGGAATCCGCTGCCAGACTGTTTTCGGAACGGCGGATTTTGCTTTGGGGTCTTAGCTTGACACAAAAGATGACCCCCGCACGGTGGGGGTAAGCCGAGGAAGCTTGACGTAATTGGCCCCAAACAGGCGGGGGTAACGGGGGGGAACTTGACTTAATTGCCCCCCAAACAGAGGGGGGATTGTGTTCCAGAGCGGGGAAACACAACAAGAAGGTACCCCTGTTGTTCTCTACTGGAGGACCTAGTGACACAATTCAGTTTCAGGGTCCCGGTATTCAACCAGGATGCCGCATTGCATCCGTCGGCTTCATGGCAGACACAAGCTAAATTTTTGGAATTGGGGATTGAGGGTAGCTAACAAAGTTTAGTCATGATCATAGAGCAAGGTATACTTACCCTGCAGTGCAGTTACCACCATTGTTTCACAATGGTTGGGTTCATATGTCACCACCACTGTTTACCTAAGGATTATCATTCAAATTAGGTCCCAAGGACATTCCTTTCATGGGGGCTCAACCCCAAATTTGTGGTTTGGATTGGTGGTTTGGGGATTTGAGCCCCTGGTTCTTGTAGAGGGTTCTTAACCGCCAAACCGCCGGGCCCAAACCACCAAGTAGAGGGAAGCTGAGTATACTTATTTGGTCTCTCATTCACCTTTGACCCTTGGATTTCCTTGTCCACAGGAGGCGTGGAATTAAGGTGCATTCACTTTTGGAGTAGCTATCAAGGCGACTGGTGTTTGTTGCCAAGTCTAGTTGCCAGTAATCTGGATCACTAGGCTCACTTCCTGAGTTGACGGACGTTACACCTTTTGGGGAGACTATTTTAGTGGCAAACAAACAGTTTGAACTTTTTCTGGCCAGTCCACTCAGGAAGTGAGTAGGTCTCCGCAAGTGGCGAATCACGAGCTTGGCAACCAACATCCAAGTAGCAGCCAGCTGGATTCACGCCTACTGCTTCATTTGATCGATGCCGTGTTCATGGATCATGGATGCCCTTGGATGTGCAGTTATGTATCCTGGAGGAATCAAACTACCTGTTGCTTGTGGTCCGGGTGCGTCCACCTTTGCCGCGGCTGCAAAATCACTGAGCCAGGTCCAGCTCCTCATGGGCATTTGCAGCTCTCTTCTTTGCGCCTGCGCTTTGCTGTGGCTCGCCCTGAAAGCCGCCGGGCGAGCCGCCCCAGTCCACTCGATGGGACGTTTCGTTTACGCCATGGGTTTTGGGTATCAGTTTAATGCCAGGCTTGGATCGTGGCTCAACTCGGGAAAGGGTACTTTCTCTCGGATGCGTTTGTTTGGGGGTTTGGTCAAAACTCGCTGAGTAGTCCGACAGGTCGATGTCTCCAACTTGTATAGCTCGGCAACCGGATTTTAGCAACACCGGAAACACCGTCATGCCCTGTGGCTATGAAAGTTCATGGGGGACCCTTTGCTGAACATCATTTCGGTGAAGTCCACCACACACCAGGACCCTGAACAACACTCAACTGGAAATAGCGATGCAGCAGTACCTCCAGGATTCGGCATATATATATATATATGATGTACATTGGACTACGGCCAAAGCTTGGAGGTTTCTTCCCTCAAACGAGGCAGAGGCTTAACTTCAGATAGATCAGGACCCCGGTGCCTTAGAACCAGAGAAGACCTTCCCAGAGGCTCCCGATTCATGGGCCAAACGGCGGGGAAACAGCCAGGTTTTGAGACCCCCCCCCCAAAAAAAAAAAAACCTCTGGGGTGCTCCAAATGGGGCCTAAGTGACCGTGATCCCGTAAGTGAACCGTTTGAGCGATCAAGTGACCAGTCTGCCCTCCGATGGAGTCGGGGCTATTGAAAGTTTCAGTGTCTGGGAACGAAGCATTGAGTCGTCAAAGTGCGCCTAGGACTTGGTGGGTGCGCCGCAGGAACGCGGCCAGAGAAGGTGCGGGCCAAGAACCTGTGAGGGTGGGGTCAAGTGCCAAGTGCCAATGAATTTGGTTCAACCCTCCACGGGTCTCCAAAACTATTGAACATTTTGGGCTGGACAAACTGTTCAGAAACAGAACCAGACAATCGGCTTCATTTCTGTGTGCTCAAGGTGTGGGCCAAGCCACGTATGCAGACCAATAGCGCGATCCTGTTGTCCGGGGCCAGATTCAGTGGTTTCTTGGGCTTGGTTTCCTTGAGAGTGACACCTGCTCACTCTTTTTCCTGGACCGCAGTCACTTCAGGGTCCCTCCATCCGGGCCAGCTGAAAGTAAGCTTTTCCACCTGTGTTTCCTTGTGGAGCACAGTGCATCCTGTAAGCAACCCTGTGTATGGGGAGACAAACCAATTCCAAACAAGAATGCTCGATTTGGCCGATCCGAAGGAATCCAAGGCCAGAGGGACATGGATACACCAGGGCTTCGGACCAGGGCTTCACATATTAGGGTTCTCATATTTTAGGGGAACCTCTCGTGGTTGGTTTCGGTTCGGTTTCCCGAAGCCCAAAAGAAGGTCTCCACTAGTTTTGAGACACACTCAGACGTATTGGTACAGACATTCAGACGTCGAAATCGGTATGCTCAAGCTTCGGCACCTGCGCGGCTTCTGATGGATGCCCCACTTGTTGACATTGCACTTGCCTCGCCCTCGAAGCAAATGAGCCACAGTCAACACCCGGGTAGATGAAGGTTAGCAAGGGGCAGTCCCAGCCAGAAATAGGTGCGGCCACCTTTCAATCTCCTCACATGGATTTGGGTAGACTATTTCAATACCGGGGGTTGACTGTGACTGGGAATTTGGCCACGGCTTTGAGCAATACCACATCGCGGACAGCAACACTGCAACTGTTTTGCCACCCCGCTGACCTGTATGACATCATCGCCACTCGGCCAGTTTTGGAGGGTAGCCATTTCCTAGCCGTCATGGGCGACTCTGTTGGTTTTTAGGTCTGGTCCTGACGGTGACCCGGAAGACTCCCTGGATCAAGTCCCGAGAGGACCTCAGGCCGAAGGTGAGGCAAAGATTCACATCGGGGGTCCAAAAAAAGTTGTTTCGCCATGCTTCACCTTGGCTTCCCTTTACCACCCCAAAAGGCGAAAAGGGTAGCACAATGCGCATCTCGGTGTGCACTTCTCTTTTCCCCTGTTTCTGGGGCCGTTTTAGTCAGACATCCTAAAAAAAAGCCAGCCGGCGCTTTTTGAGGGGTTTCCCCATGTGTCCAAACGCAATTTGTGGGATCCCTCAAACTGCCAGCTGAGTGGGACCAGTCCTGGGGCTTTCCAAAATCCGATGGACCCTTGGCGCCGCGGAAACGAGTTTTACCGCGCGAGCGCGCGGCATTGGAGACGGGAGGCGCCGTGACCTCTCCGGAGCCGGACGACTTTGGAGGCGAGGCGAGTGTCTTCCGGTGGGGATTTTCCACTCAAAGCTCGCTGGCATGACCCAGGGTTTGGGAATGAACCGTTTTGGGCCTCCCTTAAAGGAACCCACCAGTTGGATGTTTTTGTTGGGGCTCATTCCATTTCTCATTCCCTGTCGCACCAGCAAGACAATGTGAGGATGTTTGACCTCCAAGGCATGCCGGGTGTTTCGGGGCTTGCCCCAGAGGTTGATGTTGTGTTCTTTCTTGTTTGGTGGGTGAGATTTGCCCAAGTTTACTCTTATGTTGTTTTTCCTTCGGTTCCTGCCTTCTTGGCCCCTTCGGACTTAAATGGCAACAGCATTTGTTTGTTTTGACCCTGATAAATCGCAGCTTGGAAGCGTTGTCATTTTAAACAAACGTTAGAAAGACCGCTGCATTTGGGGAAGGCGCATTTTTGGGGGGACACTTGAGGGGTTGAGCAGTGGCGTATTAGTGGGTTTAAGCACAGGCTGAGCGACTACTAAGCAAAAAGGACAGCTCCAGAGAATATGTGTCAAAACTGCGTGACCTTAAACTGATTGGCGTCCTTTTTGGTTTCTCTTTAACCAATCCCCAATGGGGTACCTTTAAAAAGACAACTCGATACACGGATATGTAAACGTGTGTGTGTGTGTGTCAAACAGTTATTTGGGGATCCAGCTGCCCCATGGTAAACAAGCCATGAAAAGTCTAGAGGTAGTTTTCCTGGTGTTTGAATATAATGGTAACTGGACTCACTGCAGTTGGCAGTTGAGTAATTTCTTGACTTGACGACTCGTAAGTTGTTCACAGTCTTTGCCACTTGGGAGTCATGTATATAAGGGGTTATTTGAACAAACAACATCTCGATCTCAGCCAGCGCACCCAGACAGCGGCTTTCTCACATGTTAGTCCTGAACGGTGATGTGAGCATCTTGTATCATTCTTAAGAAGAAAAAACAACTCTATGAATGCAGCATATAAACCTGAGAGTGATCTAGAGAGTTTATGTGTTGTTTTCCAAAGTGATCTTCGGATTACATTTGCATGTGCCGTGGACCCCCCCTTTTCCCTGCTCCACACAAAAGAACGCCAGGGGTGCTTCCCGGCCAGCTCAAAAAACCTCGTGAGGCGGGGATGGGCGGGATCATGCCCAGGGTTGTGGGATCTCTCGGGGCTTATCCCCACTTCTGTGATACAAGGATAATCTCCCCCTTATATGGGGGGTTAGTGTTTGGGAAGCCCTGTTTGTCGCATCACAGAAGTGGATTCCATTTCCCGCAGCCCTCTAATCTGCCTGTTCATGACGAGGTAGTAGAATTGCCGTGATTAAAGCAGCCTACGTAGGGTTGTTAGGACCATCGTATATTGTTTGTCAGGGGTGATCCATCCTGGTGTGGCGTTCTTCTCAAGGGAATCCAAATGGAAACCAACCACTCGGAGAGGTCCCTAATTTTCAGCCTCACACATATCCAGTGGGCAAAGGGCTTCAGGCTTCCCCTTCTGGGGAAAGTAGTCTTCCAAAACTGTCTCGTCAGATTTTATGAGTGTCCGGGGCGCATGGAGTATTTGGCTTCTGGCACTTGCGGTACCTCGACCCCCATTTGCCACCCGGGACGCACACGATAAGGAGTAGCACACTGTGCAAGCGCCGGAAGCAAAGAGGAGACAAGCTGTGTGAAGGGGCGCTCGGCCTTGGCTTTGTTCAACTGCAACTTGCAATACCGCGCCCAGAGTTCAAGGGTCTGTGGGAGGGTGAGTGTGGGGGGACCTTTGTATATGTATGAACCCAGCACGGCACGTCTAGCCAATGGGGGCGCATCCCATCTCAACCAGCACCCGAAGTTGGAAAAATATCCAAGTCACGAGGCAGCACGACAAAACGCGCAGCAACATGTGTGTGAGTCAAAAATAGGTACCCAAATTCGAACCCTGGTAAATGGAAACATGGACTAAAATCCGCGGTGCCCTGGTGGTTGAAATTTTGACCATACACACGGAAGTCCTGGCAAGGTTGCCAACTCACGAACAAGGAACACCCAAGCAGCAGATCTGAACCTGGTTCAATGGTCTGATGGCCTTTAGGTTTAGGGGGCTACAGGCTACACGATAGGGTGGGAATGGGTCTAGGAACCTCCTTAGGTACTCGAGCCCTCGGGGTGGCCAATGTCAAAGGATTCGGGCCTAGTGTCCGAATTCAGAAAAATCTGAGTAGATTTCAAGCCGGGCGGTTTCTCGACCAAAACCTTTGCCCTGGGGCAGATATTGCGGTCGGCTGGTTTCCTTCTCCCGAATGACTGGAGGAAGGCCCTTTCGCTCCTTGCGCCAGCATCCCAAGGCAGGGGTGAGTCTCTGTTCAAAATGGAGTGGCCAATCCCAGCTTAGCAAACCACGTCCAGGGTGGGTTTAGGGTTTAGGGCAGTGGACATACAGATTTGGGCAAACCGGTCGAGTGGTAAAAATAGCAAGTTTGGGGACTTCCGCTCGGCCAATCCACTCGAGACAGCGAGGATCTTGTGGATGGCCTTGGAACCCCGGCACCGATTCATACCCTGGATGCACGAAATCCGTTTTGCACGCGGCGCCACTTTGAGAAACCATCGTTGAACAGGGCTCCTTAGAAGATACATTTTGCAACCATTTGAAACATGTGGCCTTTTCAAAACCAAAATAAAGGGAAACCACCATTGACAAGGCAATGTTCAGGTGTATAATGTAAGGATCCCTGTTGAAACCATCTGGTTTGCTATGTTTGTTGGTATTCGGGCATCGACCTCAGTCCAGGGTTTCTGAACGCTGAGAAATGAATGTCGAAACCATCCGCAGCATGTTGAGGTAGGACAGACCGCGAGCCTCGCATGGCTGGAGCAAGAGGCAGGATGATTTAGTTGTTCTTGTTTCTTGATGCGAAGGACACCTCTCTGCAGTCTGGGATCCTGGACAAGATTTGGGTCTGCCTTGGAGTTGGTACCCCCTTTCATGTGGCTTCAGACTAGGGAAGCCAAGAGGAGAACCGCCATTTTTTGCTTGGGCGGGGGGGTCCCCCCGGTAAAAAACACACCCATGTGAAAAAGTATTTAATGTAGTCAGAACCAGCAACGATGTTTCGTGCGCTGCATTGGGCACAACAGCCAGCTCACTTTCGGGGCTGAAACGAAGCTCCACGAGACCTTTGGCGCCCTTTCCTTTTCTTGAAGTGGATTTCCCTTGAAATAGACTGCCCTTTTTTTTGCCCTGTGCACTAGACGTTTGGATCATGAATTCCTCCACGACCCACGACAATTCCCAGTTTGCCCTCGCCAGCGCAAGATCCCTGTTGAGTTCGAGTTTGCCTAATCAGATCAAGCTTCCGGCGCGATCGCAGTTTCTCGCGGGCGGCTTTGCATACTCTTCGGATATTTGCAGAATAAACCCAGAAACCCAGCAAGGGGCCTCGCAGAAGCAGATGGTTTGTACCGGACTCGAGGTCATCCAAGTCCACTACGTTCGGCCCAATTTGTAGGATCATTCCCTGCGTGCAAGTGGTAAAAAGCTCTAGGGGTTGATTCCCCATTCTTTTCAACCATCGTTCTTTTAAAAAACCGGATCTATTTCCCCTGGGTTATTGATGGTTTCCTGACAAGCAGGATCCCTGGAAAGAATGGGGAAGGTAGCCCTAGAGTTATATTCCAAGTGGCTTACCACTGACTTTCTTGGCCGAACATCCAAGGAACACTTCATTGCTACTGCGGCCCCAAAAGGGCGCAGTTTGTTCCGCCAAAATCTCCCTTCATTCAGATGCTGGTTCTATCCTTAAAAAGCCGAATGTTGTGAACCACGTGTGAAGCCCGGGTGTGCACTCATAAGCTATGGTTGGCACATGTTGACACCATTTGTCACGGGCATATCCAGGTATGTTGTTTGTGTGTAGATATGGATGCTACATGCCACCAATACAAGCTTGTAACGCAGTGTGTACATATATATACATATATATATAACCTGAAAACCTCCAAAACCCCATCCCTGAAATTGCCGTGTATTTGCCAACAAAGAGGTACAACATGGTTTTCCATGGGTTCAGATATGTAACACGTCGCAAGCATTGGTAAGCGAGCTCACCCGTTCCAAGGACGGGGAATCATGCTAAGTAGCTCAGATACCGACACTTGAAGTGGACCGGAGGGTTTTGGAAGACTACACTGCATTTGGGTACGCCCCCTGTCCACAAATGAGGTACACGGGTCCATGCAATCAGATTGCAACTCCTTAGTGATGCTCTCTGACAAGTGCATGTTTATGAGGCCTCGACAGAAAATGCGCCAAACGAATCAAAAGAGCTTGATCTTGTTGCGGGTTCCCTTTGCACTCCACCACTCCCTCACGCGATCAACACAAGAAGGATTTGTCATTGAGGCCAAGACAGGCCCCCACGCCTCTGGCAAGCTGAAGGTGTTTCCATTCAAGGGGTTGGCATGCGCGCGCCTTCGGCACCCATGCCAACTTTCCCGTGAACCCCTCGAGAGACCAGCGGGAGAGTTAGCATGTCGCTCGCCTTGTTGCCGCTCGAGGCTCCAATTTGAGGGGCATCTGAATGCGGGGGGCAGTTTGGAGATGGGTTTTTTTAGGTCGGCGCTCAAGTGGGCTTCTGATTCACCCCCCCTTTGGCCACGGCTACATTGATATCGGATGGACCGACACTTTGGGGAGTAGGGCAACCCATCAACCAGCCATGAGGATGCTCCAAAAAGGTTCACACTCCTTGTATCTTAGTCTTAGTCGAAGTCTACCAACGCTTCTTTACAGGATCAGGCAGAAGCGTTTTTACCACTCTTTCAAGGGTGGACCATGAGGGTCGCTTCTGAACTCGCTCCGTTTCTTTTTTTTTGCGGTCCCGTGCGGATGGCATGGGCTGCTGCAAGAGCCGTCCGGCTCTCGGTCAGAACCCGTTTGCCTGAGAAACCTCAGACTGTGGAGGTTTCATCCTCTTTGTTGTCGGAACTTTTGTAAAAGTAGTTTTCATCTTTTGTTTGTCGTTTTTTGTTTTTTGTTTCATCTGGTTCAGACTCTTTTAATGGTGGTGAAGTTGGTGATGACCCCCTGGGGCTTCGGGGGGTGGTGCCTTCCACGAAAAGAAAGGTCCCCCGTCTTGCTTCCACAGGAGGAATCAAGGATTTTGGAACATGCCAGGGGCAGCCGAGAATTCAAGCCTGGCATTTGAAGGGGTGCCGTTTGGAGGTACGTATGTGTTCTGTTTACAGGGGACGGTTTCCGAGTTCCTGGACTCAGAGTTCTTGGGCTGTTTTGGGCAATCCACGAAAGTGAGGGGGATCCGTGAACGGAAACCGCCAGCTGGGGGTCATTCCGACTTATATAGGGGCCCTGCCTCTTGAACCGAACTTTTTGGGAACGAGAAAGTCTGGGGCCGGGGGTCACTTGCGGGTTGATCAACAGGTCCATTGCTTGGAAAAGCACGCACGAAAAATATGATAATTGCACCACTCAATGGGAAAAGTGACCCATGGTCATTTTGGGGCCAAACGGAATATTGGTCTGTTTGTACCTGAAAATTCTCGTGGTTTCCGTGAATCCCGGAAGGGTTCCGGGGCATGCAATCTACTGGGGATGCCCCCCGTGCATAGTCTCAATTCCTTGATACCATCTTTCCAAAGTAGGAAGCTGACGGAAGGGTTTGGCAGACAGTCCTGTATGGAAATGGGCACCTTCGCACGAAATGGGAAATTTGTCTTTGCAACCAGTGGCCACTGGGACTTGAATCATTATCATGCAGATTAGCCTGGAACAAGCCATCATTGGAGATGAGCTCCTTTGAGGGAACTTTTTGTTGGATTCTATGTTCATTTGCACTGGCATGTCGTGAATGTGTGTAGCAACACAAAGTGTGGAATTCTTTCGGCCAAGCCACTTGAGAATGGCGCCCGTCCTCACGTTATACAACTTGGACTCGGTGGTTCCCATGAAAGCCAAGAGTTTCCTACAGCTCCCACGAAACCCGGGGGTTGTATGGAAAGAGATTCCTAAACTTTACTGTTCTTGGCAGGTGTCTGTTTTCTTTGTGCTGTTGGGTTCTGTTCATTCCTAGTAGGCCATACCAAGGGTTGTAGAGGGAACCTGTTTTCACCGCGGTTTCCTTTGGGTTGGGAGCGCTGTGAAATCCCAAAGGACGACGGCTCCCACTTTGGGTAAGTTCGTATCCCCCAGTCCAGTCCCCCAAGGGGTTACGCGTCAAAGGCTGAACGAATCTGCTCATTGTATCAACCCCTGGTATGAAGCCCCTAGTTTACGGGCTAAACCGTTAGGCATGGCTTAGTTATGGGAAATCAGTCCGCAAAGGGTCCACAATGGCCGTGGCTTCGTAGATGGACCTATAGAATCAGCCTTTGAAAGTGGAAGTGAAGCCCCACTTGAGACTTTGTAGCTGCATGGGGATATTAACCAATTACTTGACTTACCTGTCATCCGCCTCACTTTTTTTAGTGAGACCTTGCTGTTAGCAAATGGTCATGGTACTATGGAGGTTGCCAACTTGCAGACATGTGGTTGGCTGCGCCATGTTCTTTTGTTTTCAAGTCCAAGTGCTGTCCAGAAAGCAGTTGGTTTCTCCCAGTCGGCTTTTGAGTTTCATCACAATCGGCGATGGATCTTCGGCCAGCAAATGTTTAGCCAGGGGTTAGAACCGAACTCCAGCTGCGGAAGCGACCAAAGTGGGTTAGAAGCTGGGCTTCAACAACTTGCTGACTGGGCTGAACGCTCCACCCCAACCCACCCCACCCCCACCCCCCCACCAGCCCCCCCCCACCCCACCCCAAGTAGGGACCTCTCAGAGTGTGGTGAGAGGTCGAAGATGGCTCGCGCCGAGCATCGACTATGATCCAGACTTCCGGGAGACGCAGAAGGTGGGAACCAGAATACCATCCCAGACCTATGGGAAGTTTTTATTTATGTAGTTTACCACTTGTTCCAGGGCTTCCTACGATGTCCCTTGTGGCTTATGATGTTTCATGGGGAAACATAGGGACCCCGGTTTTTGGAGGGGGAACCTCGAGAACATCATCCCAGACTAGCCGGTTTCTGATGCCGCAAGACGGCGCCATTGGATGGCGGCACTCGGGACAAGGTAGAAATATATCAGATGGCCTGATGTGTTTACTTCATGACTTATCATACAGGTCTTTTCCCCATAACTTTTTGATGCAACGGAGCCGGATGGGTGAAATCGGCTCACAACCCAAGGTCGCAATTGTCCAGGGCGTCCAGATGAGGTGCCAAATCCAACTGTGGATTTCACAGAGGAAAATACGGGCCTAAAGAATTGCATGCCTTGCTGCCGAACCCGGCATCTTACGATCATGAATGACTATGGTGTTTATAAAGTACCCCTTTCCAAGTATCAAAGGTCTCATAGTTTCTTTTCAGCTTTTGCACCAGAATGTGCACGATTCGGTCGGCATCCGCAACGCGGAATGTGGGTTCCGTATGTTTCTCCTTTTCAACGCCAGCCCACCAGACGGCACCGTTATTTGTTGCACGTTGATTTTAAAACCCACCTTTTCAGGGCAACACGAGCAACATATTCCAAACACAGAAGGAGCATCACACAAATTATCAGCCAAAGTATTTCTGCGGGGAAGCTCCCCGAGCCTCTTAGACCCGCTTGGTTGGACATGGAGTTGTTCCCCGAGTTTCTGGACTCTGGTCACTTTTTGGGGTTTGAACTGTGTTAGTGGCAAACAAACATATTTGGACGACTTTGGTCACTTTTTGGGTTTGAACTGTTTTAGACTTGCACTAAACAGTTCAAAGAAAAAGAGAAAGATTAATACCTATTACCCTAAGGGTCATGACCCCTCCAATGCAGACCCCCGGACCCTCCA